ATAGGTCCTCATTTGTAGCAGTATTCATAAAGTTACCCCGTGGGCAGTCCTTTCCAATCTGGTCTGAGCTCTGCTGAAATCATGCTGCTGAAATCAAGCAGTGTGCTAGATTTAGTAGTCATTTAAGTGCTCGGTAATGCACTGTGGCACATATGTTCCAAAAAGAGTGACACGCTCCCACACAGTGGGTGGGTGGGATTTAAGCAATAAAGCGGTTGCTCATCCTCTGTACAGCAGTAGCCTAAGATCCCTTTATCAGACATGTTTAGGTCCGTTAATCAAGTATTTATGGGGAGCGGGGGTGCAGCTTAGGCTGGGCTGCAGCACTAATGATGAATTGCTGTGGAATAACTCCAACCGCCAACATTAAAGTTACAATACTGTTGCACTCGTGCCTAAGAGTCTACTCAATCTGTCTTGTTTAAAAACTCCACCCTGGGTTTGACCGCAATAAGCCTACCAGGGCCCTGTGGGAGACAGGGAGCACTTTGTCTGTAAGGGTTGTGTTAATAGTACAGATTAGTGTATTTACATGGGATTGAAGCTACTTTAACCCAACAAAATGATTGAAAGCAAAGACTGTACATTGCAGGGGATTATCTTAAATATTCCAGTATTAAACCACCACACCGGGTGGTGACCATAGAGACGCAGCACATAGCTTCATATTGACTTCCTTGCCACTAAACTACAATCCTCCCCCCACCCTCTCCCAAGCCTCACAATCATTCCCTAGGGAGAACTATCAGAGCGCATTATGCTGCTTTTCGCTCTCATGTTCCCTTTTACTTTTTTCGACACTCTTTTTTTTAATTAGTATCTGATTAAAGCCAGGGAGACGAGGTACAAAGTTTCCATTTAATTAAGTAATCAAAAGAAGAAAGGAAGACATGAAAACCTACTAATAGTCAGGTCTTAGAGGAAATGAGGTGTAATACCCTTGTGGTTACACCCTTTTGTTTTTGGAGGAATGCAACAGCAAATGAAAAGGGACAATAGTGAGGTATCAGCATGCAGAGATTTAAGAAATAATGACATGAACAAAGCCCACTGTGGATTCCACTACAGTGTAAAAATGATGCTAAACACATTTTCAAACATGCATTTTTAATTCCTGCCGCAGGGGCCAACGCCAAGCTGCGCTACCAGATAACATCTGGCAACAAAGGTGGTGTCTTTGACATCGAGCCAGAGGTTGGGACGATCTTTATTGCGCAGCCATTGGACTATGAGCAGCAGAAGAGGTACAAGCTTCTGATTCTCGCCTCAGATGGGAAATGGGAAGACTACGCTGCGGTGGTAGTTACTGTGGTTAATAAGAATGATGAGGCGCCTGTGTTTTCCATGAATGAGTACTACGGATCTGTCACAGAGGAGCT